GGAGACAATTGGCTAACTTTAGTTTTGGGGAATCCTGCTATATATTCAATCTAAAATTCTTGAATTACAAGTGATCCACATTAAATTTGTGGTCCTCTAGACTCAACATTTTAGGATTAATGTATGCTGGTTTCTTTCCTCCATTAACGACTAAACTGCCGTAAACGAGTAGATATTTTGCACAGATTACCATAAAATATTTTTCATTAGAGAAAAATATCATAAAACTCCAAATCTATAGAAAGAGACCACATTACATCAAAGAATTACTGTAATGGTTGTTAACAACGTTGTTAAAAGCTAAAACATATTCGAAGTGCCAGAAAGTACCAACTTACATTAACATGTATCCGTACGTCATGCTAATTTAATGAAGACGTTAATATTTGTGGAAAATATCTAATAATCATTTCTGAAATTTACCTTTCTCTTTTTGAGTGGTATAACAAAGGAAAATTCTACTGCGTTAATTGATTAATCATCGGAGCGCAAAACTAGAAGACCGAATACGAGTCTCATGTAAAAGGCTATATAGTCTAGAATAATTAAGTACGCTAGCTAGGTAGGATCTCTCTCTTGAAAGTGCATTACAACTCTAATCTTTGAATTTGGCACAAGGCACAATCTATGGTTGGTTTCCTTACTTTTTCCCTTGACAAGCTAGTAAGTTGAGACAATATGCACCAAAGTCTTTTATCTTGACTTGAGGTCAAGTATGGAAACCCTAAACTCCTAATAAGAGCTATACTACGATAAAAACCCTAATGTCCAAGACCTTTATTATTTCTCTAGGCATAGACAATCACAAATTCAATGCTTTCCACCGTAAAAGTTTTTCCCACTCTTCCGTGTTAGGAATAGAATCTCCTACAAGAGCGAGTGAGAAATCAAGAAAGACGGAAAAAATTAATCACAAAATGCGATGGCTTTTATGTGGTTCAGTACGTAATTTAATTTTCTGCGTCCACTATTGCACTAGGGTTTCCTTCTTTCTTTCTGATAAATTTACAATTATAAGATAGAGCACCCACACGTCTAGATAGAGGCTAAGGCTAGCAGGGCTATGTAGAATTACACGTTTCCCTTGTGATTAGGCCCAATCAGACACCACAAGTCTAATATCTTGCCACTTAGGTTAGGTCTCAAGCTTCAGTTATTAGTTTGAATTTATTTATTAATGTTAGGTTAATTTGTGTCTCGTAGTTGAAAATTAACATGAAGTTGATAGACGTTCCGAGTTAAGATTTAGTCCCATACGAGAAATTGAGCGAGAAGGTGAATGCTTAACATGCGATTGAGATTCAAGAACTAACAGCTTAACCTTTTGGATCAAAATAATTTAAATCTACCATTAACTTCTGGTAGGTAGAAACTTCACTGGCCATAATAAGGTGATATTGGAGTCAAAGTCAAAGATTAATTGTGACTCAGATGAAGTCAAGTATATAGGATGATAAATTGTTGCATCCTATATATGGGTTAGCAATTCTATGATTTGATGAGCGCTAACATTATTTTGAGATGGGTTGGACATGCACGGTATCATAAAGTGAGTAACGCTCAAGATATGCAGAGATTTGAACCTAACGCTTCTTAAGGTGGAAGATTATGTTTTACGCACTTTCATAAGTAAGAGGCAAGACTGTTATTAAAGAAATACTCTGGAGTGCTGAAGGGTTCCTGTGCCAATGGGGATTCGGGTTGTCATGTCTAGTCAAAAGCATCTTTTTTGTGAAGAAAGATGTGTGATTTATTGATTAAAAATGCTAATTTTTATAAAGACAGGAACACAAAAAAAAAAAAAAAAAAAATTGGGGCTCGCAACTATCTCCGTTGGAGCGTTGCCTTGTTTATAAATACGAGACCTCCTAACTGACTTTAATCCCTTGGGAATATGCATGATATCATAAATTAATACATGTACATCATAATTAGAAACTTTGATTAGCTGAATAATATACATGTATACTTTTGTGTCACAACGGTGCAATATTTTTATCGACGCGCTGAGCGCATAACCTCAGAAGCACGGGCGTCTGGAAGAAACCTTTTTCGAGCATTTGTGGGTTTTGTATTTCCTTTAAAGCGAAGTGAAGCAATTTAGAATTCATGTTCTATGTCAACACGATGCACAATTATGGTTTCTTTTGGATTAAATTGAGAATAATTAGTATAATTCACTTATTGAATAATATTTATTTATGTTGAAATTATATGCGAAAATATTCTAGATAAATATTAGATATCATCTATAATTGTGAAAATGCTCTATATATGTAAATCCAGTTTTCTTGATCATTACATTACGGGCGCATTTGGTAGCTTGCAACCATAGTTGCACTGCAAGTCATCCAACTAAGACGTTGCAACTATTCTCGGGTGCAATTACATTTGTAATTGTTTGGCTCAAATTTAAGTTTTGCAATTTGCAGTTATAGTAGTTTAATTCTGCCAATAACTTTACATATGCAACTCATTATTTCTTTTTAATAAACTGATAAAACCATTATTTCTTTCAGAATTTAAAAATATTTATTTCTTAAAAATAATGGATTTTATTTTTAAGAAAATTAACTTTTTAAATTTTCTAAAAGAATAATTTTTGTAAGATAATTTAAAAATAATATTCTATTATAAAACAACACTATGCTTGTAAAATATTATTTTGAAAACATATATTTTATAAATTTTTAAATAAAATATTTTATTAAAAATATTTCTCAAAAAAATAAATTTTTACAAACAAATACTTTTTTAAATATTTTATTGAAATAATATTATTTTCATAAAATATTTTTTATAATTATCTTATAAAATATTTTTCAAAAAAATAATATTTTAGAAAAATATCTTTCAGGAAATATATTTTAGAATATTTTATTTTTGAAATAAGTTTTATTAAAGAAATTATAATAATATTAAATCTTTAATTAATTCTTAGATTTTTTTCAAATATTAAATAATGATTTTGATTTTTTATAAATTTGGGTTAGTTGCAAATAAAGTTACAATCATAACTTGTGGTCGTTTTGGACGTAAGTTATATGTTGCAACAAAAAGAAGTTCTGTAATCGTAGTTGCAACTGCAATAATGAGTTGCAACTAAACAAACACTTGTAACTAGACAATGTTGACACAATTGCATTGCAACCACTCTAGTGCCAAACGCCCCGTCCTAAAGGTTGTACCAAAGGTAAGTCTGCATTTAGGTCGATGTACAATCAGTAGCCAATGAACTACACCTCACTTGTTGCCCCATATGTTTTCTTCCCCTCGTCTAAAACGCCAATATATACTTGGCTGCAAATTTTTGGTACAATTTCTTCTTCCTTCAATATGAAAGGTTTAGGACAAATAATTTCAAAATGAACAAAAAATACTGGCAGATCGATGCTTTCTTATTCGTCCAGGACACAAACATATATATCACGGTTCGACCACAACTGATATCACAGAGAAGAACACCAAAGGCTGATTAACCCAAGAATGGATAATCTTCGGCTTTTCGCCTTTTTCATTATTTCTTTCATCTTTGGGCGGAGTTTCCCCGATGATGGTGGTCGAATGCAAACATACATTGATCATGTAAAGTCCTGCATCTTCCACCGTCATGAGGCACTCTTTCGACCTCAGAGCATCGAGAGGCTTGATATCGATCTTTTTTACCCGATACAATTGCGAGCGATAACAATGTCAACTTAGGTTAACCGAGTCCGATCTCGCCTCAGGCTACTTCTGGGCTCCTCCGCGCCTACGCGGTTAGATTCTCGGGTTGAGCCAAGATGCAGGCAACTTATGGAACGAACCCAATCTCGGTCAAGGAGTGATCATCGACGTGATTGACAGGCGCATTCTACCAAACCACCCTTCGAAAGGGCGAGCGTAAATTCAAAGTGAGCGATTGCAATAACAAGCTTGTCAGTGGAGTTCAGTGTAAGTGGCAAAGATATTTTTATAGGCAAAGGATACCCTGAAAGTGAAGGATCTCGGTTTCTGCTGATGAAAATATAAGAGAGTCCGGTGGCCATTGCGTTTCAGTGATTTTATTCTTAATCATGATTGTCTATAGTTAACGAGCAGTTACTATTTATTTTATTTTATTTTTTTGATAGAATTACTATTTATTTTAAATGAAAGTGAGAATAAATGCAATTTAGGAAGTCATGTATGTAATTAGTTGATGATTATACGTAAGAAATTCGTTTCGCCATGGCAAAGGTGACCGTGCAGAGCATCCAAACCTTAAACAGTACATCGGCAGTAATCCACGTTGTATTTTAATTAGGTTAGCAAATTTACTAAAGAAAAACTAAACTTACTTGATAATGAGCACCACGAGGTAGAGGTGCATTTGGTCTGGATACGACTCGGATATGATACTTATCATATCTATATCCGCTTGCCCATCTCGGACACGGATACAAATACAAATTTACATCGTTAAGGAAATTTCACATCCATCTCCGTTAAAATCGGATACGGATATACATCTAGATATATAAGCAGACATACATGCGGATATGCATGTGAATACAACACGGATATAAGAAAACTAGATAGCATTGAAAAAATATAGTTCATGTGATACAAAAAGAGATCGTTAATATGTTCATTAAATCCGAAAAGATAAGATTATTCATCTTGATCATCAAAATTAACCTCAAATCAATAATCTAAGGATTAAAGCTATCGTAACAATATGACTAATATATATTCAAAAGTTTCGGATACGGATCTGGATATTTCACTACAAAACCATGTCGGTAACCTTATCATATTGATTGTAGATTTGAGTAACCATATTCGTATCTTAACGGATATGGTTACGGAAATTTTCTCGGATAAAGATACAATTTAGCACCCCTAGCACCACATAATTGAGAAATTCTTTTTCTAATTTACTGCCGAAAATGGACGAGAACTCAAATTCTAACCATTTGTCCAGCAAAGAATCATTCAAGATTGGTGCACAAGTCTTCACGCATTCTTCACTATCCATATTTTCACGAATACGAGGAAGAAATAATTCTTAATAGACGACAAAAAACAAGAGTTTACCGAGAGTGTATCTCATTACAAGAGGGTGAAAATACATTGCAGTACAAACTGAAAATGGAAAATGGATGAAATGATGACAGATAACTCCCAATAATATACGCTTATTCTTACATTAGTCTACAGATAAGACTTTATTGAACATAGTAATCGGATGTTACCAAACAGTCTCCAGCACAATTTCCTTAACCAGAACATAATCTCCACAGTCTTCTCAGGCGTATTACCCGTACTGCCAAGGTTTTCAACAAATTCCATGTAAGCAGCTTACTTCTCTGCAAACATAATAAGCAGCGAGTTAGAAAGAATGAATCATCATTACTCAAAGTCTCTTTACTAACTTTAAAGAAATTGATTAGTAATCTGCATCGAGAAGTACCAAAATAATTCATAAAAATTGTGTAGTCCAAGTTAATACCATAACCATGTACGCCTCTCAAATAAATATATCAGAAAGGAACCTGATAATATCACAATTGCGAAAACAGGACATGCAGACTCAACAAAACATGGAAAGCATATATATGCATATTCATGTATATATGCATGCACATGTGTATGTATAAAATATTTATTTTGTGCACTTTAATTATAATAAATTCTTGAGTTAGTTTAAAGTTTTTTTATAACAAATGAAAGGAATAAGTATTACAAAATAAAGTTCAGCATAACTCTTAATTTAAGGTAATCAATGATTCAATGTTCAAATGACCTCTTACTGTTATAATATTCCGAATTCATGTTCTTCATTTCAACTATTAATTTTCATCCCTGCAAACAATTTTAATAATTTTCTTAACAAATAAACGTTTCTTCCAAAAATATTATGACTATTTATAGATAATTTTTTTAGTTTCTCAAGCAACAATGTCATGTGGGTTCCCTCCACAAGCTGAGTGATTATCAAGTTAGTGTCAAAAGAGTGTCTCTCAGAGTATAAATATAGTGACTTACAAATATTGAATATACATCCTATAATTTTAAGATATGCTGTGTGTCGGTATTAGAAGCCACATTTTTTAGACATGATCCCACCCATCTATAACGTGTCCAGTAATTATGGTTAATATTACATAGATTTTTCGCATCACGAACACAATAACAAAGAAGGCTCACGATTTAAAACTTGACAGCAGGATGTTTTAACTAATAAAATCAAAGGACTGTTATAGTCTTCTTATGAACTTACTATTTTTCTTGGCATGGCACTTCTGTATTATGCTATACCAATTCCACTGGAAACATAGCCCTAGGAAGCGCATCAAACCAGCACCCAAAACCTCGATGAATGCTCCTAAGCTTGATGGCTGTGGTGACAAACCTGCTGTTGCAATGGCTAGCATGGTTCCCTCGAAACCACAGGGTACAATAAAAGCTCCAGATTTGATACCATTTAAGGATATTTTAGCAACATCATCAGCCTTCATTGCAGAACCCTCAGACCCAGCTATCAGAGTTGTGGTTTCTGGCCTTAGCCTATGTTCTGCATTAAAATTATCCAAAATTTAGTTCGAGGTAATAAAACATATGAGAGTATACAGCTTCAACAAGAAACACTATAAAGGAGAAGTGTTAAGATGAAAAAACATGCGCATAAGAATCTTACAGCTATAAATGACAGCATAATATAGGGGTTTTTTAAAGTTTTAAACTATGTGTGGGCGTCCATGATAATTAGCATAGACCCACAGGTTCTCATTGCAAATCAAATCTTTGCTTCTTTGATTTTCACTTTAATTCGAGAAACAAATAATCTCAAAAACCACTATATAACTATTTGCAGTTTATTTCACTGTTTAGATAACACTATCATTTTAAAACTTTTGTACTTAGTTTGGATATTATGCAGTTTATGTAAAGTTTAGCTACCATTTTTTCAGCTTAGTGGTATGGAAAAGCTCTTTTTTTTTAATAAATAAGATCGATGCTCACCTAGAGTTCAAATCCAGGCGCATAAGAATCTTACAGCTATAAATGACAGCATAATATAGGGGTTTTTTAAAGTTTTAAACTATGTGTGGGCATCCATGATAATTAGCATAGACCCACAGGTCCTCATTGCAAATCAAATCTTTGCTTTTTTTATTTTCACTTTAATTCGAGAAACAAATAATCTCAAAAACCACTATATAACTATTTGCAGTTTATTTCACTGTTTAGATAACACTTATCATTTTAAAACTTTTGTACTTAGTTTGGATATTATGCAGTTTATGTAAACTTTAGCTACCATTTTTTCAGCTTAGTGGTATGGAAAAGCTCTTTTTTTTAATAAATAAGATTGATGCTCACCTAGAGTTCAAATCCAGGCTCTAGCACAGAGACGAATTAAATTTTTATACAATTTTAAGAGGATACATTTATCGTTTAAGATCCAAGATTGCTATGGTTAGAAACATCTGTTTACTGTCCAAGACTCTACTCAACAAACTGGGGACAGCTATGACCTAGAAAAATCCATGAAGAATATAACAAAATGATACACCAGCTTGTCCATCTAAGAACAAGGGTTTTGCCATAAGATCTAGAGTATAATTCATGGGGGGAGAAATTGGATTTCACTGACCAATGAGAATGGTTATCCAACATTGAGATGTTTAGTTGCTTACATATGAGCATCGCTTTAAAATTTGAATATCCCCGATATAGCCAATATATAGGCCGATGTATCATTTTAAAAGGTTTGCTGCAAAACAACATTGTTTAAATATCATTTACCGCTTTTTAGTAATTTTTTGCTATATATCCCCACACATGGCCAATATATCAACCGATATTGTTGGCGGATATATCCTTTTATATAGCTTGCCGCAAAACAAAATCGTTCTGCAAATTTCTTTGATGTATTTTAGCAAAATTCTAGTAGGCTCTTTTCCCTAAGTAAGTTTCTACAATTTGTGAGTGACACTAAGTATATATTATTTACCTTTTTGCATGTGTAGATTTCATTAAGCATGATTTTAGATTACATTTTAAGACATTATATTATTATATATGCACATCATCTAATTTGGCACTCAGATATTTACTACTTATCCCCAATATTTTCCTGATATCCGCAATCTGATATAGATGTTGGTTGTCTGATATTTCCCTGATAACCGATATTTGAAACCTTGACATGTTACGTCATGAGACTCATAACATGCGATCATGATTCATGGATAAATAGTATTTTAAATGTCCTCGGACATGTCGGATTTAGGGTTAAATGTCCTCGAACATGTCGGATTTAGGGGTCAACCGACACGATATGGAGCTTTTCAATGTGTATTGTGTTTTTAGGGTTCATATCGAATATATCGAGGGACATGTCGGATATGTCGGGCGGATATGTCAGGTGATATGTCGGTTATGTCGGCCGATTTTTCAGTCTGAAAAATTGGCTGATTTTTTTATTTTTTGGTTATGTTTATCTAATTAGATTTAGGTTTAAATTATTGATTGTCTTAGTATTACTTCCAAAGACAAAAAACAATAAGTTAAGGGAACTGGAAAAAAGACCAAAGTAATATCCGTCGCTCATCTTCTCTCTCCTTCGACATCTCATCGGTCTTTTCTCCGAGCTATTCCTTGGACATCAATATCGGGCGATCTTCTCTCTTCTTAACCGCTAATATCGGAGTCCTCTTTTCTCACCTTTTTTCCTTCAACATCAACCCTAAGCATTATAAGTTATCTACTTTTTTATATGTTCAGACAATAAATTTTGTTAAGTCTGTTTAGATTTTATTTATGATATTTATATTACACATACGCACACCATCCGATATGGCAATCCGATATTTTTTTTTTCCTCCGACATATCCCAGATTTCCGCTATCCGATATAAACTTTAGCTGTCCAACATGAACCTGACATCTGACATTTAACACCTTAGATAAAAGTAGTGCTCATACATCATTTCATTTCTTGTCCACAATAATGGCGAGAGAATAATGAATGGTGCAGTAATATATAACCTTATATTCGCATTAGTGGTTGGCCATTCCGATGAAAAGAAGAGAAAGTTACTAAGAGTATCATAGGGAAAGTAAGGAGTGCATGCAGTTAAATAACCTGAACCTAGTATAAACTGAATAATGTGAACTATACTAATCTTGTAACAATAAACATACAGAAGAAAGGCAAGTCGGTGCAGTTTCACTGATTAACGACTGCACAGATATTCCAACAATTTTGGGAGTTCACAAATTAAAGACATTGATTATCCAACATAAGCAACAGAGAGCTATTCAATATAGAACATGAGAAAGAGGAAATGGATGGAAACATGTGCACAGGTATCTTTACAACATGTTCACACATGAAATGCCATGACATTGGGAGCCATCATATAACACAAATAACTAGTTAACAAGGTAGACGATTATAGAATCTGCATATTAAACTAAATTAGGAAAATATTAGAATGTTATTAGATGCAAAGTTATCAGCTAGAAACTTTAGCCTTGAAGCTTTCTAATCAATTATCAATCTTCAAAACCAATGTTACATTAAACGCTGGGCGCTCCTAGGCGTCGGACTTGGCGCCCAGCGCTTAGACGTCTAGGCGGGCGCCTAAGCGGTTTCTGGGCGGTTTTTTTCTTTTTTCTTTTTTCTTTTTTCTTTTTTCTTTTTTCTTTTTTTTTTAATTGTGATACTTGAAGATATATACTCAATCAACATTGCAACTTATTATTGTTCTATTTTGTAGGTCAAAAACAACAACTTCATTCGTTATTGCTGTAACTATCACTACAAGGTGAATGCGGGGATCCATGTACAGTTGTAATCTTTGAACAATAATCTTTGAACAAATGCAGTCCTGTTGGACAAATGTAATCTTTGAAGTTTGAACAAATGCAGTTATAATCTTTGAACAAATGCAGTCCTGTTGGACAAATGTAATCTTTGAACAATTAAACTTTGAACAACCTTGAACAACAAGAATTACTTATAAACTTAAAATAAACTTAAAATTAAACTTAAACAATTAAACAATTAAACAGCCCCATGATTACATACGCGTGAACAGTGAACACTTACTCGTGAACTCAACCCGAGTTGGATACAAATCCATGAAATGAAGTACATAGCAGGACACCATATCCTCTACTTCTGTTTTTTTAGCACGATTAATTTTTCTAGTATGACCAAGTTAAATCAAAGTTAAACCTAAACAATTAAACTTAAACTTTAGCACGATTAATTTACACTTTCTCTTTCAAAATTCTGAGATTTACTGTTTAAACTTAAACAATTAAACTTAATATAATATAAATATATTAAGTTAACATTTACTAAATGCATTTGATAGTCTGCTAAACTTTAGTCTTTAGTCCTTTACTTACAGATAGAAGTCGGAGAAGAGATAGACGACGATAGAAGTCGGAGAAGAGAACGACGAGCTCGAATACGAGCTCCCAGTTGAAGACGAGCTCGAAAGTTGAGCTCGAACTCGAAGACGAGCTCGAAAGTTGAGATCGAACTCGAAGACGAGCTCCTAGGAAGGATCGAAGATGAGCTCGACGAGATCGAAGACCAGATCCCAGGTTGAAGACGAGCTCGACAAGATCGAAGACCAGATCCCACGTTGAAGACGAGCTCGGAAGTTGTGCTCGAAGACGAGATCTCTAGTTGAGATTGAAGACGAAGACCAGATCCCACGTTGAAGACGAGCTCGGAAGTTGTGCTCGAAGACGAGATCTCTAGTTGTGCTCGAAGACGAGATCTCTAGTTGAGATTGAAGACGAGAGCTCCCAGGTTCGAATATGAGCTCAACGAGATTGAAGACGAGCTGGCGGCGTGGAGAGTGCGATTAGGGTTAGTTTTTCTTCGTTTGCATTTTGGGTTTGGGCTTTGGGTTACGGGTTTTGGGTTTGGGTTTTTCAGCGCCTGAGGCGTTTTTTGTTTGAAATTGTGAGGCGGGCCGCCTAAGCGGCCCGCTTAGCCTTGGGCGGCCGCCTAGGCGCCTCCAGCGCCTAAACGTGGCCGCTCAGGGCATTTTTGCACGCCCTGGGCACCGCCTCCGCCTAGGCGGCCGCCCAGACCGTTTTTTACAACACTGTTCAAAACTAATGTGTCTACTTTGTAAAACTACTCGGTTACTGTTATGTAAAATAGGAATCAGATGTTAAGACACTAATCAGCATAGTTAATCTACTCCAGTAGAATAGTACAAGATAATAAAAGAACTTGCCTCATTTAGCTGGAGAATCTGCATGAAATCAAATTACCAATAAAATGATGTTTAAGAAAACAAATTATCTAACTTTCCTGTAAGCTACAAGGAATTAACTCTAGGAAAGCACGTTTTTAATTCTATACCGTCGGCAAAGCCCGGAGTGTCCGTATCCGGAGGAAATATCAAACTCACACGAATGTTGTCAGACACAACCTCCTGCTGCAAAGCCTCCCCTAAACCCCGAAGGGCAAATTTGCTTGCAGCGTAAGCTGTATATCCATAGACACCAACCTTGAAGCAAACAGCAGCAACTCAATACAATACAATCAAAACAGACTTCAAGCTTTTGATGTACGAGATGCTAAATATTGTTCTCTTATTAAACAAAGAAAAATATTAATAAGGTGCAAATAATACTTCATTAAATTTAGTCAGTACATCATGAAATATCCACGTATGGGAATTTTGGTGGGGAAAAAACTAACAGAAGATCCATCATCATCGAGAATGCAATGTGAATTTAAATTAAAAAACTTTCCTATATCTTATTAAGGTAAGTTACTGGCCAGGTTGACAATAAATGATTGACAAACTTTTGATAGCAAAGACATTTAAACTCTTATGTTGCATCAAATATTTCAAATTTTTGAATCTATTTCAAGAAGAAACAAAGGATGTTGGAGGAGGTGTTCATATGTGGAGGCTGGAAGAGGTTGGAGGAGTGGAGGCTACAACAGAGGAGACCATAATCAATGCCTAAAGGGTGCAGTCCACTCACACTCTCCTAGGCGCTGCCAATATCTAGTTGGCAGCCTAGATACTGCCTAAGACTAGACACTAGACGCATGGCCTAGACACTAGACGCATGGCTTAGGTACCGCCTACGCGGGCTAGGCGGAGGCTTTTTAAAACATTAATCCAATTCCGAAGAGACACTTCTAGAATCATCATTAGAATTACCCGAAGTGCTTGGTCAACCCTTGACATTATAATAAATATCAAAAGAAAGCTAGAAAAAAGTTTGATCTTCCAAGGAAGTCACCAAAGAACTTATTTTTAAGAGGAAGAGGCAAGTGGGTCCAACTTCTCACCAAACTCAACACCTCAGAAGCCACTCCATAATTTCTTGGAGGAAATATTAACTAAAGTGACCAATAAAGTTAGTACGGTACTAGAAATGCTACTGGAAATGAGAGGAAGAAGAAACTTCAGCAGATAAGAATCTCAAACATTTGAAATTGTAGAAAATCCAAGACATAGCGGAAATCACAAGCACCAAACGATAGAGTAATTTGAGTATCTCAACAGAAATTCAGCATCCATTACACATGTATGATCATCAAGGAGCTGAACAATTCAATTGTTGGCCTAAAATGACAAGGCACATGTTCATGTGATAATTATGTTGGCTATAAAAAGAACTAATGCCGACTATTATAAAATTACTACTATGGTCATATGCTGCAAAGAACAATAGCAGGAAAAATGCCAACCCCGCCCAAGTTGCAGAAGGGGGCAAAAAGACATTACTTCAACTAAGTTTATTCCCAGATGTAGTGAAAAACAATCAATTATACTTAGAAATCTCACCTGCCCAGCTTGAGAAGAAACAAGAGCAATAGAAGCAGGAACCCCAGTCTCCTTCACCCTCCTCTTCATTGCCGGCAACGCCGCCTTAATCATATGAAAAGTCCCCATCACATTAACCTCCATCATCAACCTAATCTCACTAATATCCTGCAACTCCAGCTCCTTCGGTGTAAAAATCCCCTGATTACACACCAACACATCAACAGGCCCCGCCTCCTCCACCGCTCTCGCCACCGCCTCAGCATCTCTCACATCAGCACTGAAGATCCCAACCTCAACTCCGGTAGCTAGGCGAATGATATCCCGCGCCTCCTCGAGCTTCGCGAGGTTGCGGGCGAGGATCGAGACCCTGGCGCCCTCGGCCGCCGCCTGACGAGCGATGCAGAGGCCAATACCGCTCGATCCGCCGGTGATGAACACGTGGCGCTTCTTGATCGGGATCTTGACCGATTTAGGGCGGACGAGGAAGCAGAGGACTAAAAGGAAAAGGAGAGGAACGAGAGGGATTAGAAGCAAGAGGAGGAGGTAAGGTGAGTCCATTGATGTTAGGGTCGTGAGGTAATCTAGGGTTTCGAGGGAGATGAGAGAGAAAGGCACTGGGATTTTAGAGATGTTGAAGTTAGGGTTTTGATTTGGGAGGGAGACATTGGAGAGGGTTAGGGTTTTCTAGGAGGAGGAGAGTACGCCGGAGTGGACCGTGAAAAAAAAGTCAGCGGTTTGAATTGGCAGTCGAGATGGAGGAGAGTGGAATGTGGGACAGTGATGAAAGCAGGCTATGACGCCGCGTATTAATTTTGGCTAAATATCATAAAATCACTGAGGGGAATGAGTGTGAAGGGAGGTTAGGGGAACCATTCACCTCCATTCATCTTGTTTGGGAACACTTAGAGTATCTCCAACAACTTCCCCATCTTCTTGAAATACTCAAATTTGAAGAATATAGAGCTTTTTTTTGGTCCAACAGATTCTCCATCTCATTCCCCAAAATAGGGAAGGAGGAGAAAAAATAGAGAGCCTTCCCCAAATCTGCAGCATTCTCCAAATTTTTGGGGAGAGCTTTATTATTGTAATAAATGCGATTTTTTAAAATGGGGAAGCTGTTGGAGTTGGAGCAAAAATAATTTGGAGAATATGACATTTGTTTCTCCATTTTGGAGAAATTTTTGGGAAAGCTGTTGGAGATGCTCTTATGAGGTAAGTTAATTCACCTCCATTCACCTTGGTTCACCCCCTAATAGTATAAAAATTGTTACCCCCCAAATTGGGGTGTAACCAAGGGGAAGGGAATTCCCTTCCCTTCCCTTCCTTTCCCTTCCCTTCCCTTCACTCAGTAAAGGATTGCCAGATAACCTCCAATAAAAATATCATAAACCCGAACCCCACAGTTAGGGGTTATCATATAACCCCAGGGTCGGCCACGAGGTTTGGGTTGCCCTATCCTAATCAAATTTTGGTTGCCCCTTATATTAAAAATTTGGTACGAACAATAACGACAAAAATGAATACATTGTAGGCTGTCTAAAAATCACTGCATATAGTTGATTCCCATCAAACACCGATGATGGAAGTTACAATTTGACGGCTTCCAAAAGACTATAATTTGAAGACTTTCACGTGGATCGATGAAGGTTACAATCTGACGACATTCGCAACAACTGATGAAAGCTCTAATCAACAGCCTTCACAATCAACATCGGTAGTTACAATCTGACGACTCTCACATTTTCAAGGAGCCAAGACGAATATTACAAGATGAAGATCTTTGCAATGCTCTAGCAAAAGAGACTACAAATCGACGGTCTCTTCAAACCAAAACGCAGATATCTCTCAAACCGTAAGGAATTTGGCAAAACTGACGGAGCAAACCTAACCCTATGGGGTTGGTTTGGTCGGCTCCGTCTCGTCGAGATAGCCGATTTTCATATATAATTCGTTCAATTCTGACTTACGGTTTGAAAGTTATGACCTGTTTTCGCAGCAAGTTATGTTCTGAAGTCCGTCTGCAAGACTGGACTTCGTCTGAACATTGGACTTAGTCTGAACCTCGCCAAGCCCGCCTAAAGGCTTGCCTCTACATTATAGAGTCAAAACGCAGAGTTTGTGGACTTAAAACGCAGAGTTCAACTCTGCGTCCAACAACAAAAACGCACAGTTAATGCGGAGCCTAACTCTGCGTCCCAAGTCCAAAAACGCATAGTTAATGCGCAGCCTAACTCTGCGTCCCAGGTCCAGAGACGCACAGTTAATGTGAAGCCTAACTCTGCATCCCAGGTCCAGAGACGCACAGTTAATGCGGAGCCTAACTCTGCGTCCCAGGTCCAGAGACGCACAGTTAATGCAGAACCCAACTCTACGTCTCAGGTCCAGAGACGCACAATTAATGCAGAACCCAACTCTGTGTCCCAGGTCCAGAGACGCAGAGTTCATGCATAACCCAACCCTGTGTCCCAGGTCCAAAACGCACAGTTAATGCAGAACCCAACTCTGCGTCCCAGGTCCAGAAACGCACAGTTCATGCAGAACCCAACTCTGCGTCCCAGGTCCAAAACGCAGAGTTCATCTCTGCGCAGCGCGACCTGTGCGTTTCAGCCTAAAACAGGCCCAACTCTGCGTTTCAGGTCCAGAAACGTACAGTTCGGGCCCAGAACGCTGTTTTCAGCGTTTGACTCGTTCAAGCACGATTTGAACGGTTCCAGAACCGTTTTCTCCCCAAGATTTGAGGGGATCACTACGCTATCATGAAGAGATTTATGGGGGGCAGTTACACCCCATTAAACCCTCATTAAGGAGAGATTTAAGTGGACGGTTACACCCCTAAATCCCCTATAAATAGTGGGGAAACTCAATTGAGTTGACGCGGGCTTTTGGGATCTTGGATCTGGGAATTTTGGAGATCAAAAGGCCCTCTTTTAGAGATCGGCTGGACTTCTTCAGATCTTCTTGGAGCTTTGGAGATCAGCAACTTGAAGAAACTCTTGAGTCATCTTGGAAGGCTTTTAGTGAAGCCTTTGAGATTATTCGGCTTGGCTTGGCTTGTGAACTCTTTCTAAGAGTTCTTCTCAACTCGATCAGAGTTCAAAACTTGCTATGCAAGTTCTTCTAAAACTCGCTCTGAGTTATTAACTCGTTAAGAGTTATTTTCAAAACTTGCTCTGCAAGTTCTTCTAAAACTCGTTCAGAGTTATCAACTTATCAAGAGTTCTAAAACTTGCTTTGCAAGTTCTCCATAACGTCAAATCGTGAGGAGAAAATCATGTTCAAGTGAATCAAGACATTCGGATCGTCAACGAGAAGCAAACTCGACGCGAGCATTCGAGGGAGGCATCCCATCGCCACCGTGAAGAGCCCAGAATTAAACAAATGGGAGAATTAAATTCATTCTTCTCTCTTTTATAATCAGGAAATCCAATTGTAATTAAGATCGAGAGAATACAAATTAAATTTCTTTTATTCTTTTTACTACAAATTTTCCAACAAATAAAAGATGGCGACTCTGCTGGGGACAAGCTTCTCTGATGAAGAAGTGGTGGCGCAATCCGACGTCAAGCTCGCTGGAACGACCGTTGAAACTCTAATCATCGAGTTCGATCAAGCCAAGTATGAGGAGTTACTCTCCTTCGGATCCCTTAGCCCCAAGGCTATGCGCAAGATCCGCAAAATCTTCAAGGAGACTAAAGCTCCAATTGTTACTCCTATGCCGAAGGAAGCTCTCTCCTTTAGCCGAGATTGCTTGAGTAGCCCCTCCTCCAAAGGAGTGGGCTCAGTTTATGCCAAACGCAGCTCTCAGTGGTGCGTTGTGCAATCAAAACACAACCTTCAGAGGCGCGTTCCAACATCAAAACGCAGACCTCAAAACTGCGTTGATCTGACAGAACGCAACTCTCAGGAGTGCGTCCCAGAACCAAAACACAACTCTCAGGAGTGCGTTCAAGATCTAAAACGTAGACTTACGAACTGCGTTAATCGACAAAAACGCAACCGGCAAAGGTGCGTTTCATCAACAAAACGCAGACTTCGGTCTAGCGTTAGTAAAACAGAACACGACCCTCATGTTTCTTCTTCAGAACACGATGCGATTCGTCGTGTTCAAAAAGATCAACGTGGACTCAAGATCCATGTTCACCAGGAGCCAGTCCTGTCCAATAATAGACTAGGGGTTCCAATTCAAACCTCACGATCAGTGAGTAATTCTCGAGTCTTTACAACAAACTTGAGAGAGTTCATATCGAGAGAAAGACCGATGCAACAAGTCATTCGTTCATTCCAATATGAACGATTGATTCCTACGGTCCTCTCAGGATGTCAATGCTGCTCATATACGGCCAAACTGTTGGTGTTCGACCAATTTACGAACATTGCTTTGCCCAACCAACGACGACGTTCTCATAGGAAGAAGTCTCCAGAGACCGAATATCATGGGGTCACTATCAATGTGATCGGCAGAAGGAAAGCCTCTGGTCCTAGTTCCGATGATTCTGAGACAAGTCGTTCATCGACCGTCAGAGAAATCGCTAACGAGTTTGAAGGAGTCTACCAACGCACTCGGACGCGAACAGGAGCTATTCCATCTGTCAACTATCGGAGGTTAGCCAGAGGAACCCATTTCGATGATGAACACTCAGCCATTACAGAGCCCCAATCATCAAGCTCTTTTGTTGAACATGAGAGCTCCGCTTATATGACGGGAAACCATGAAGATCTCGCGAAGAGACTTTACGAGCAGGAGGCCATGCTCAAATCTCAACAGGAGGCCATCAATGAACTCATGGCCCTGCTGACTCAAATCGTCGCAGACAAGGCCAAATCTCAGAAGACATATTCGCCACCCAGGCAAGAATCTTACCGGAGAGGGAAAATGTCTTCATCCCTACCTCACGCAAGTAAAGGGAAGGGGAAAGTGGTTGATAACACGGCTTCTGACCAAGAAGCCCACAACCTGGAATCTTCCTCTGATGAAGGAAGAGAGACTGAGAACGAGCAGAATCTCCAATCTGCCAAAATGGAAGAATTAGAAGCCCGCCTCAATGCCATGGCCAACAGAAGCGAGCTCCAAGACGAGGGAGTTATCAGACCCTATCCTGTCGAATGGGATGCAGTCCCTTATCCTCCAAAATTCGAGATCCCGACGCTACAAACTTTTGACGGCACGAGATCACCGAACCAACATATCTATCATTTCAAGTCACAGACTGAGAATGTGATATCAAACGATGTCATACTGGCTCGATTGTTCATTGGCACCCTCAAGGGAGTTGCCTTTAAATAGTTCAGGAAACTGCCTGTCGGATGTATCCGAAAGTGGGCGGATCTAGAGAGACTCTTCCTGTTAAGATTCTTTGAAGAGAATACAGAAGTCTCCATCCATACCCTTCTCGCCACTAAGCAGAAGAAGAGGGAGTCTGTCAAAGCCTTCGTCAAGAGGTTCGGAACCATGGCTCTCCGGTGTTCGTCAGGTATGACACAATCTACCTTAGTAGAGACCTGTCGACATAACTTGCAGACCGACCTCCTAGCCCGAATAGGAGTTACAGAATGTCGTTCTTAGAGACAACTAATCTCTTAAGGCGAACAGGCTTAAAAGATTATTGTCAGAATCAAAGCTGAAGAACAAAATAGGCAGGATCAGCCTGAGCAATCGAACCAAGCCTAATCTTCTCAGTCAGAAGGGGAAGATACTACGACCACTGAAGCCAATCCTCTTTAGTAGGATGGCGGGTCCAACAACTATCATGTTAACAATTATCTCTGATAGTCAAACTCGTTAGATAGTAGCTCACTAGGCGATGTAC